CCCTCTGCCTTGTACTGATACTCATCAGAGCTCAGAGTTTTTCACTCTAATTGAAATTTTTGAACTCTTGACCTTGTTTTTCCCGCGAAATAGCGCGGACCTAGCTCCATTTTACCACCTTTTTATACACACTGGAAAAAAAACACATTGTATCTAGGGTCCAGACTCTTGAAAACATTGACAAGAAAAAATACTCTTATCCCAATCAGATTTTTGCTCAAATCAAAAGGAAATCCGCTCAAATTATGAGGCTTGGTTCTTGATTTAAGCAAAAATCCGATTGAATCAAGAATATTTTCTCTTGTCGATGTTTTTAAGAGTCTGGACTCTATATCCAATGTGTTTTTTTTTCCAGTGTGGGAGAAGTGGCAACATCGCGGACTGGATCAACAATTCAAAACCGCAGTTTGCACACAAATCCGCGTTTCCGTAGGCAAACGCCACGGTCGATTTGGCGCGTTGCGAGTGTATAAGTGCCGTGTCTGCTCGTTCGACGAGGAAAAATGGGCACTGATGGGCCTGGAGAGCATTCTAGCGCCATTCGCCAATCGCTGGTCGCGTGTGGGCCACGCTGTGAGGCTGCGGCAGTGCTGCGCGAGTGAAAGAGCAACCTTGGCTTTGATCTCGAACAGCAGTGGCTATGAACTCAACAGGTACAGTTACGGTCGCTGCACCTGCGTGACGCTCGGCACCGTCAATCGGCCTTCAACCTTGAACTTGACGACGGAATCAGCCAACTTGACGGAAGCAACTGGTGACAACCCACTCAAAAAGGCACCCTGTACCGCAGCGAGCTATTAATCTGTCGGACATAGATTTGTACTAAATTTTGCAGTTAAGGTCCAGTTACACGATCAAATTGAGCCATCAAATCGGGCCTCTCATTGGTCGCATCCTCACCTCAGGTCTTTTTCCACCAATCAGAGCTTCAATTTGATGGCTCAATTTGATCGTGTAACTGGACCAACAACACACCTTGGACCTTTGGAACCACAATTTCTGGCTTAATTGATTGGGAACAACTCTACTTTTTGTCAGATGAGTTTGATAGCGATTCGTTGAGAAAGGAATGACTAAGGAATGTCTGATTGATCAAATTGAAAAATCAATTGGTCAAACAAGGTTTAGTTGGGTGAACAGGTTAATCAACAGGATATCCACTAATTACTCACACTGAGCAAAACATCTTGACACTAAGAACCGTAAATACGGACCGCAACAGGCAAACCATCCGTTCCGGGTTCAGGAGCCCCTGGTAAAAATTGGCAGTAGAATCTGTGCTCCAAAATACCATAGACCTACAGCCGGCTGTGAGATTTCCAATAGCTTCTATAGCCGGCTACACAATTTTTTATAGCCTTTTGTAGCCGATAGAGACTGAGCAACAGCCTGACGATAAAGTGTATGCTAAACTTACTAATTACGGATGCTAGGACTTAGTGAGTTTTTGGAATACCGCTCTCTTTTTTCTTTTTTCTTTTGGGTAGTATCTTGATTTATTTTGCGAGGAAAGCTCCGTACTTTTGATGGATGCCTGCCATTCCTAATATATTAGAGCGCCTTCAGTTTCGTATGATACTGTGCAATACCTCTGGTGTGAAATAGTTGCTTCAAGCGCCGTGGCAGGCGGGCAGCCAGCGCGAAACACGCATTGGCGCCTACAAACCTAACAGGGACACCTCACGCGTTGCGCAATGCGTGAAGTATCCCTGTTAGGTTTGTAGGCGCCAGTGCGTCGCCGCTCCGCTTTGTGTTAGGCTATAATATTTAATCTGGCGGAGTCAGCGTTATTCAACTCATGATTTTGAAATGTTTGCACATGATGTATGTATTATTCTCATTTTAATTGATGAGAAAAAATATGTATTACTGGAAAATATAATGTGTGTTTTGTAAATATTAAGTTGGCTCTGTGTCAAACTTAATGATTTCCAAAGCACACAAATTTCTACACAATTTCTTATAGCCTTTTATAATCGATGGCGAAAAAGCATCAGCCAGGCGATAAAGTGTAAAGCCCGGCGATAGGAACTATAGCCCGGCTGCATAATTTTTTATCGCTTCGTATAGCCCGGCCGTATGATTTTCTCCGCATGCTACAGCCAGCTATATGATTTTCTGTAGCCTTCTTTAGCCGGCTATAAGAATTCCTATGGTATTTTGAAACGCAGCCCTTATCGCCAATTTTTACCAGGGGCCGTAAGTTTCGGACTTAAGAGTCATAGTTTCGGCCAGCAGTCGATTTTACATGGCACCTGCATCACTCAGAACGAAAGGCTCGTCCATGGCCCATGTAAAGCAAGGAAAATAATATGTGGTAGAGTAAATAAAGTAGGTAGTTAAATTCCTGGGTGTAGATAAACCAGTTCAGACATGTTCATCGCTGATACGACCTGAAATAACACCTCAAAGAGGCTCAAGGGCCATGACTGACATCAATCAAACAGTATTTTTTAAAGTAACATCTCAATCTTAGTTTATATTAGACGTCCAAAATTGGCGATAGGACGGATAATTTGTTTTTTTATGCCTAATCTGTCAGCCATAAGTATTTAAAAACAATGCATGATAACACACTTGGCTAACCAGCACCATCAAAGAAATAAAAAAAGTTTCGAGCAATAAAATAAAAAATTGATAAATATTCATCGTATTCATGAAAACCTTCTTTTATTACTGTATATTGTTAAAATTAGGTGTGTTATATGGGGCACGATATCTTGCTGCTATTATTTCTTTGAAAACATTTTAAGTCAATGGCCCTTGTATACATAAATCGGTATTCTGCTTTGTTAGCTGTACCAAATTTTACCCAGGCGCCACTCATACCTACCAACAAATATGTTTGTTCAGTAAATATGTTTGTTAGTACACGTCCATCGTTTTGGTCGAGCTGGGTACATGCTGACACCTCCAAGTATGCCTCTCAAACGGGATTGCTCGTTTCTCACTACAGTATTTGGAAGAAACATCTTCTCCTCTTAGGTGTCTAATTATGTTTGTCCACATATCGTGCTAGTGACAAAGTAGATGCTTAGATTAATGCGGAATATTTCTGCTTCTGCAGTTTGATGGAGTGGTTCTTAAAATATTTTAAGGTTTTTTGCAAAACTAGCAAAGAACAATGAGCCGCTCGCGTAAAAAATTAACGACATTCGTTATTACCATATGAATAACTAGAAAATTTTGTAAGCACCAATAATTTCACTTTACCGAAAGTATTTTATACCACTAACCGATAATTTTTCTACCACTAAGAAGATTTCAACCTAAAAATGTTCGAATTTGAAAATTTTTTCAATGTAGAAGGGAGAAAAACCGTTTTTATTTTTCAATTTAATGCAAAAGCAAAAATTAATACGAAATACTTGAGTAGTATAAGTGTATACCTATGAAAAAATGACCAAACAAGCGATTAATTAATAGCGGGGGTTTTAAAGTTTGACGAGACCTGTAAACATTGAGCAAATAAAAAATGCCTCATAAAAATATTAAGCCCTGTTTTAAATGAAATCACAAATAGGTATGAGTGAGATTGGTTCAGTTTATAGCTCAATGAGGAGGGGAGGAGCTGAATTATATGCACATACTCATTTTGAGGAGAACCATGTGCGGAAACATGAAATGAGCTAACGAGCAGATCTTTATTTGCCTAAACTCTGATCGCGGCTCAGGTTCACTGTGCGTCATTACAATTTTTCCGGAGCAACTTTGCTCTTGAGAGATTTACTACATTGTACATTGACATTGAAATCTGTGAAAGTACTAAGTGAAAAGGAGCCGTAGTCTACAAAAAAATCAAATTGGTGTTAACACCATATAAAGAATTGTACCTCACTGGCCGGAGACCCCTTTTTCATTTCACACGATTGTAAAAACAATATACTATGGAGACTCTGAACTTCTAATAAAATCTATGTAAAAGAGTCGGGCAAAAGTTATGCAGGGGTCACCTCTATTTCTCGGTTATGATGCTTGATGATTGATGTGCAACGTTTTTATTATAAAATTTGCTAAATGAATGCCAGCTCAAGACTTTGCTAGGTGCGTTTTTTTTTGCAAATTAGGTTAGGTTTGATGAGTCAGTTGTTCAGTGCAGTGGTCATCATCAGACTAATTTGAGCGTTGACTCACCGAAAAAAAGGATGCTAATTTAAAATTCTGGATGTAAATTAGTGTGCGAAAACTCACAAAACGCTGAAATAACCGCCCTATCAGTTAGTTTTACACCCTGATGTTGCTGAAGTAACTGCTGTAGCGGTTAATTTGCGCAGCATTTTGCGATTTGTTGCACACTTTTTACATCCAGAATGTTAAATTAGCATCCTTTTTTTCGGTGCTTCAGAACTTAACTCTCAGGAAAGGAAGCAGGGCGGGTTCTCTAGAATATATTGACTCTACATGCAAGAACGGATGAAGGGTCAAAAGTTTACTGGGCGTATTGACGGATTTTCATTATGGCGAGCCTCGGCAACGATGCGAACGGATGAATTAGGCCGATAATCGAACTCGAGCATCATTCGTGCTGATTAGAGCAATAGAGGAAACGTACGGAAAAGAGGCGAGCGTCGAAGGCGGACAGTGGAAGTGAGGTCAGGAGCCAGAGCAAAACGCAGCTAATCAAGTAAAAGTAAGACCGTGAACTTGGAGGTTAGGTGGACGACGAAGGCTGCCGGTAGCCGGAGCGGCTGCGCGCTGGGGCGGAGATGCGTCGAGAGCGCAGGCGCAGCGCGGTGGCGGGCGAGTCCGGCGTGTGGCCGCGGCAGGGGGAGCGACTCGGGACTCGGGACTCGGGACTCGGGGGGCAGCGTACCCGAGCATGTGAGCATGTGTCGGGCCGGTGGTGGGGGGCTCTCCAAACGGAAGACCAGTTTTCTACGGCCCCCCGAGAGAGATGCGATCCGGCGGCCACCACCGCGAAGAAAGTGAGGGGAAGAGAGAAAGAGGCGGCGCGCCAGAGAGAGATATGATTATTTAAGAAAAGAAGAGGGTAAACCGGTAGTTTAAGTTTATAAAAAGAAGGGGCCAGCCGAGGATCGGCCATTCATTTCGTGTTTTTTGTGGTGTACATATCTAGTGCCAATAAATGTGTGATTGTTCATAGTACGCGTCTCATCCGCTTCAGCTCGAGTGTTTATTTTATTTTCTAGTTCAAAATGTTTACGAAATTAGTGCTTTTGGGCGCTCTGGCCTTCGTCAGCTGCCGCGCCGACCCCATCCCCAGCAAAGCCGACAGTATAGACGACTGCTTAGACAAGGATTCGATATCCTGCATCCAGTTTAAGTTGTACAGAAACGTTAGGTCCTTCTTTAGTCAAGATAACATCGAATTGTTCGGTGGATTAAGTTTGATCAAGAACGATGTCGACGAGAAGTCGGCTAAGAAGGAGCGTGCTCTCTTCGACGAGTCCGAGTCCGAAATCGTTTCCGCCAAGGACTCCGAGGCCCGCGAAAATGCCCTTGAGTCTTTCACCCTTACCAACGCGGCTAACTTCCTGCAGCAGAGAAGCCTCCACTGGAACCTCAACCCCTTCGTCAACCAAGTCAGTGAAACCGCCCGAAGCATCTACGAAAGTGTACCATCTGAAATGAAAACCAAAGTTACCGAATTCATCGAAGAGGGTGAGCCATTCTTATTATCATATTTACCTCTATCCAACCTTTTCATCTTAGTAAACACATTTCATATACAAAAACGAAGTTTTTAACCCAACTCAAGTCCCTGACTATTTTTCAACTGAAAGTCACGACGCAGAACAGACATTTCTGCAGAAAAGTAACTTTTTAAGGAGCCGCATGAGTGTTTTCCAATCTCTCGATGGAGAAAGATCCTTGTTTTTACAGAATGTCAATTTAAAAATAAAAACATCTCCTCAAAGTCTGGACACGTGCGCTTTTAACTATAGCTTAACAGACTTTTTTTAAATTTGAATGTTGAGCGATTTGAATACAGGTCTTGTACTGAACTTTGCTTTTCAAAAATATTGAAAAATAAGTGAGTTATTCGAATAGATAAATGAGGTTATTATTTGCCTCTTCAACTAAACCATAATACAATCAGGGTACAATTAGTTCATCTGATATGCAGTGTACCTATCATTCGGTAAAGTGGTGCCTTGTACCTGCAAGACCCTTTGCAAGGTAAATATTCATTCAATATCAAAAAAGTCTATATCTACCTCTAAATCAAGTTGACTGAACATTTTAAACATATTAACATGCAATATTTGATCTAAAAATTTATTTTATTTGCCTCTGGTTGTGTGGAACAGGCTAAGTATCATTGTTCCGATTGAAATTATGTGTATTTCTGAAATTGAAATGTCTAAATACTATGATCTATTAATTTCACATCTATAATATCTTGCCTCTCTTATTATGGGGGCAACTGATGGGTCTACACTGAATATCGTGGTGCAATTTAAATTAAACTTCGTGGTGCAGTATAAATTAAAAGTGCAGCGTCTTACTTTCCAAATAAAATATACGAGCGTGAAACAAGGCATGGTTCTGAAATGTTCAGCCTTGACCCTATGACTGCCTCTAATAAATGGAAGAGCAGTCTCGAGTCGATCAAGCTGTCAATCAGCTGCGCCACCGATGAATCAATCAGGAGACTTCAACGTTAAGTTTGACTGTTGTTGGTGAAGATCGGCTACTCGCGCTCTTCGGCTGTCACGATTCCCTCGCGTGCGATCTCCGGCCGCCTGATTGGCCCACAATCCACGCTGAGGAACCGATCGATTGAAACTCTTCTGCATCGCAGTCTCGCGTCCAATCCGCCTTGAAAAACGTCTCAATTTGACTTCATTTTTCCACGAGAAACCACACTGGGAAAAAAAACACATTGGATCTAGAGTCCAGACTCTTGAAAACATTGGCAAGAAAAAGGACTCTTGATTCAATCAGATTTAAGCTTAAATCAAAAGGAAATCCGCTCAAATTAAGAGGCTTGGTTCTTGATTTAAGCTTAAATCTGATTGAATCAAGAGTATGTTTTCTTGTCGATGTTTTGAAGAGTCTGGACTCTAGATCCAATGTGTTTTTTTTTTTCCAGTGCACAATTCCTGGCTCATTTAAAAAACATCGTAGGTCATATGAAAGCCACTCTGCTGAAAAGTGAGCTATATTTTAGAAAAGGAACCATTATTTCGGGGATGATCTACAAACGCACCTAACACGTTTAAAGAAACTAATGGCACATTTGAAACCATATTCATGGTCATTTTCGTAAGGAAGCCCCTTATGGTTTACATTGCAATTAAGGAAGATTGAAGTAGACCTTTAACGCAGCATCATAAAAAGGACACTTTTTATGGAACTAGAATAATATTCCATATGTAGTTTGACTTTGGAAATAGATCCGTACAAGGGATTGCGATGATTTACTTCAAAAGATAATATACCTACTATAGATTCTAAAAATTTCAGATCCCTACTTACCTTAAATTTTTCAAAATGCGCAAAATTGGGCATTTTGTAATTTGAATTTTTTAAGGTAAATCATTGTAATCCCTTGTAAGAGTCTGCTTCCGAAGTTACGCTGTTGAATACTCGAGATTCGTTGTCCTTTTCGTGATTACCTAAACCTCCTAAAGTCACCATGTAAACCATATAGGTAAAGCCTTTTCGTAAAAAGGGTCGTTTAAAAGGAGGACTATGAAGACGACCCTCAAACTTGGGCTCACTATCACTTTTCAAATGGCTAGATCTGCCATTTTGTCGAGATCCCAGCGCAATATCCCAGAGCTGGGAAAAAGTTTCTTGGATAAAAAGTTTCTGGGACTTTGGTTGGACTTTGTTTTTTCCCGAAAACTTAGGAGTGAACTCTAATTGAAACAAGCTGTTTTAAGAACTTTAATTGGCCCGAAAAGAGCTATATTTTCAATGCTTTTTTGTCCTCTTGCATGGCTGGCCATTCCCTACTTATTTAACTGTCGGGGCACGGAGGGGAAGGCAATCCCCCCTCCCTTTTCAGATTCGTCATTCGAATGAAAGCACTTCTGCTTTCGATGGGCCGCATTGTCATTCGAGGAGCTATTCCGATCGATGATTGTTGGAGACAATTCCTCGGCGAAGATTCGGCAAGCCGCAAGACTCTCATAAGCATATGAAAGAGGAGAGATGAAAAGGAGGCTCAGCAGGTAGCGCGAATGCTCGACGGATTCCGGCCGCATCGCTGGCGCGTCCGAGTAATTTGCTTGTTTTTTAATTAATTGAGAGGCAAAATGTATGCCACTCCGACAGAGTTCACGTTCTCTCAATAAAAATGCCTCGCTCAAGTGATGACTCAAGTTTTGTGATGGTGCATATGATCCTGCTTTCTATTTTGACACCTCGCGTCGCGTCGCGTCGCGCCGAGCCTTGTCTCCATCAATTAATTACTTTCGGATTCTGGGGTTTTTTTGCCGGCTAATAAAGCTGATTTATGTTGAGTGGAGACAATTAAACGCGAATGATGTGGCCGTTTAAAAAACATAAAAAATATTAAAAAAAACATAAAATATTTGTCGCTTAGAAGATTTACGCCATGTTGAGGGGTGAGATAGGCCATCTTATGTAAGATTTCAAATTTTTTGTCTCTTTTTTTTCATAATCTCTGAGTGAATAAAAGAGATGAATGGTATGGGTATTCGCATTGAATAATTGCTCATATGACCCAACAGAGCGTTTGGTTTCGGCAATCAGGTTAAATTATTTTTCGCCTTAAATTTTGGTACAATTAACCAGAATCAGCTTTACTGCATTTAACTTCACGAAATTTTCTCCTATGTCTCCTTTTTCACAAAATATTGAGACACATAATGCCTCGCTGTTTCCTTTGAATTTTATTTGATTTATAAAGAATAAATTAACTGAATTTTAAAGCTAAATGTTGCTTAGTTTTCCCGTGAAAAATAAAACATAAGAGGCAATTCGGCAAGATATAAATGCTTGAGTTGATTCTGGTAAATACCAGCCAAAATTAAAGTCATCTATGATTTCTGATGATGTTTTGTTTTAAAATCTGAAGATGAGAATGTTTTGGTATCCTCGACACTTATAAACTTTCATTCATGAATTCTAAGAGGTTATTTGATTATCCATGATGTTTCATCGGCACATTGAGAATTTTTTGGAAATTAGATGAGTGCTTCGCAATTCATTCCTCCAAGAAAGTATGATCATCATAGCTACTAAATCATTAGTTTTACCGTCTTAATTAAAGTCCGACAATTGAGGCATTTTAAACACATTATAAGTTGAACAAAATGTCAGCTCTTTCAACGAACAGAGATAGTTTTCCAATGATGACAAAATTGCGATGCACTCAACTATTTTTCACGAAGCTCAGTCTATCTTTGTTCCGCGTGACGAAACACTCCAGTAACCTGAAGTGAAAACCTGAGCGACCTGAAACCATCGCTCGGCGCGTCATGTGACAGTGACTCGCCAAACCATTTGATATGCTCGATCGAGCCTTTGTCTCGGGTAGCTCCGATCGGAAACTTTTCTTCCATGCGCTCGGTACTGAGCCACTCCGTTTTCTGTTGGCAGGCCGAGGCAAGAAGAAGAAGTTGATGAAAGCTCTGGTGCCCCTGCTCATCGGATTGAAACTGAAGCTTTCAGCTTTCGCTGTTCTCGCTTACTTCGTCATTGCCCTGATCGCCAAGAAAGCCATCCTCGCCTCCCTCGTCTCACTGGCCATCTCCGGGTTCATCGCCATCAGGAAGCTCCTGTCCCAACACCACGTGCCCCACCACGTTGAGGAACACCACGGACACGGCTGGGCCCCCAGCTCGAGCGGCGGATGGGACAGCTACGGCGCCCACAGCGACGCCCACGGCTCCTACTCCAATAACGTTGCACACACCCTCGCCTACAGCGGACAGAAGCAAGTCAGGAGGAGATAAGAGCACGCCAAATAAAAACCACGTAAGTACCTAGTATGCCAACATATTTTATCTTACCCAACTTCTGCGGTGCTAAGGAAGAACGCCGTGCGAACTTTCGAGAGTTGCCAAATTGCCTTCGATAAAATGTTTATTTTTGAGAAAAGTTGTGAATATTTTTCCGAGAAATTTTCAGGAACTTTAGCTAAAATTGCGAACAAAATTATCTGAAAATTGGAAGAAAAATGTTTACAAACTTTTTTGAAAATTCGTGATTTACCAAAGGATATTTGGCAATGCCTAAAGGTTCATACGTCGTTCCTCCTTAGCACGGCAGATTAGTACTGCCGTGCTAAGAAAGAACGCCGCACAGTGGATCGAGTCAATGACAGAGGTCGGACATGGAATATTTGACTAAGACTGGAAATTTTGATGTTCATTTCATCACATTTTAAATTTCAAGGGGTGCCTCCCAAAGAAAATTCCACGAGGAAACCAATGGAACAACTTTCAGAACTTCAACGTTTGGTACAAACAGGGCTATAAGCGTTTAAAGTTTCCAAATGTTGTCCGACCTCTCTTATTGCCTCCATCCACTGTGGGCCGTAGGAGCCATCAGTTGTTGCCGAATTTCCTCGAATAGCAACGAATTTTTAGGAAGATTTATGAATATTTCTCCTCCGCTGTTCAAGAGCATTTTATCCGAACTTTGATCTGAAGAGTCTGAAAATTTCGGGGAAAAGTATTGATAACTTCAAAATTAGATGTTTTCTTAGAGAAATTTGGCAAAATTTCCTGTCGCCAACAACAAATGAGGAGTCGCGAGGAAAGAATTAGATCTAATTTTATTTCAAAATTAACTTTCTTCGAAGTTTTCTCGTTTGCCTTTTGCATGAGTTAAACTCATTTTTCTTGATTTGTTTGTTAACCTGCTACCCCCAATGCTTTGTTAATTTCTCCGCACTTAAATAGTGTTCATTAGAAAGATAACCATAATCGCGGTACGTACAGAATCATTTCATATTCCAAACATTCAAAACCAGTTCAAAACTCAATTGTGATGTAATCTTTGACTTTATGGTTGTGATCACACAACTAATTAAACGAGCCGTGAGTCGAAACTTGCTGCAAGAAAAACTAAGCAAAAACTTTCTAACATTCGTAGCTTAATCAACATAAGAATTATTACTACCAACTACGTGTGCAATTGTTGCTTTCAGTTCTGCTCTTGTTCTGTGGGGAGCTTTAACTTGTCGAGCAGAACATAAATTAAAATCAATTGCGCAATTTCACCTACGGCCCCTCCGGCACTTAACTTTCTCTCGAGCCCCTTTGTATTTTTAGTATTTTTCCTGGTCATCCGTCTTCCAGTAACCTCATGCATTTGCTTCTGAAGGCAATCTTTGTATTCATTGCCCCATGACTTTTGGACTGAAATCAAAGAAAATAAGCAAAATTTTAAAATTTCGTGAATGCAGTTCATTCATTTTAAATTAGGTTTTTTAATTGGTTGGAACATGTGATATTAATGCGCTTGACTGAGATTTCTATTAGTACAAGTATTCTTATTTATTAAACGGAGACCGATGGTCATCGGCGGTAAATTCCGTGAACATTTTTGACAGGTAGGGATAATACCTTGGGCAAATCACTGCCATATGCCATTTTTTGACATTAAAAGTTTTTCTAACTGAGAATGATGATTCATTAAAACTTAGCATACTTTGATCTCGTTTTGGAAAAAAATAAGGGTCTGTGCTAAGGTTTTACCAACCAGAGAAAGATTAGGATAAATCGCGTAAGCTATATTCCCACTATTAGCCAATAATCTTCAAAAATATTGATGACTCCTGCTTTGATGAGAAAGCAATTGACCCACATCGTACGTCGTACTGTATGTGATTTCTCCGGCAAAGCTGAGCCGTTTCCCACGTATCCGGACCTATCTCGAGGGTTTGGGAAGTCTGAAAGGTGAGAAACGTTTCTGCCAGGCCCGCGATATGGTGCAATGAAATTTTTCCCGCCCATTATTTTGTACGCCCAACGCACGGATATTCCCACACAATCTGACAACCGTGGCTTCTATGTATCCCGTCAGAGGATAATTACCCCATAATGCTCTCTTTTCACCCGGCACACCAAATGAACGAGCTCTCGTCCAACTCTCAAGATCCGTCAAAATAAAAGTGAACTCGTATGTGTGCTTTTCCGTTGTGTTGCCCGTGTTGCTTACACAAAAATTGAAGGGGCCTCCTCTTGCATTTCCAGCGGCTTGAGCCTGTACAAAAACTGCATATTTCATTCGTATATTTTTATTATGTAAAAGATGAATGGACCTCAATGAAAATTACTTATCGTTTGATTATTTAAAAATGCTAATGCGTTCCATTAAAAGTTTCTCGTGAGTAAAAATAAACAAAAATGGCCATGAAAATCTAAAATATCAACTTTTTCAAATTGATTGTGCTTTAAACTTTTTTCGATACTCTCCCCCGCTCCATCGATATTTCATCCTCTCCGAAAGAAAGTTGGTTTAAAGTTCCAACTCAAACTTGATTTTCTAACTAATGTATTACTGAGAGTCAATTTCGCCCCGCATAAAACTTGTAAAATAGTAGAGGTATATGCATCATTTTCACTTTCGGAGTAGCACTCCTATTTGAGCCAATCTTAGAACATCCGCAGCCTTTCATAAAAGTGGCCTCTTCTCCTTTCACTGCGGATCCTGAAGTACAACCTCTGTTCAAACTACGGGGTGGGTTGTTTGGTAAAATTTACGAGGGCAACCGGTTGTTAAGAAAAAAGCGAGAAAAAAGAAAAAAAAATAACTTTCTTCCACACGCTCGCCACCACACGGATACCGGAAGTAAGCGTGCAAAAGAAACCTGGTGGCAATTAAGCCAGGCTAAGTTGTATTAAGTCTAAGTGAAAGAGGTAATTGTCGGCCGGCCAACCGGGAGTGGTTGTTGGCGAGTGAGGCGTGAGTGGGGAGGGGAAAGGGCTTCGCTGTCCCCGAGAAAAGGACAAGTAAGAAATCTGGTTCAGCTCTGAACAACTTTCAATGGCTAGCCCGTTGACTCAACCGATTTTACGCGTCTGCGCGGGTAGTTCTAGCATGTTGCCGATGTACCGACTTCGCCGTGTTGTAAGACTCAACATTTAACCGAAGAATATTCTATAGTTTGCGGATGTAAGATGATGGCAAATCATGCCTACTTTGTTGCTTTCAATGATCATTTCATTTCCTCCAATTTTTCCTCAACAAATTTTCTCCAGATTCTTAGTTTTTCATGACCAAGTTGAATCTGTAAAAATAAAATCCGGCCGCACGCATTTTTAAGTTAAATCAACGCATTAGCGTTTCAGCGTAACATGAATAGTCCTCAAAGTATTGAAAATTGTAATTTATAGTAATCAATTTAAGGATGCCATTAAACTGTGTTGGTTAATGAAAAAAGTTTCAGAGTATAGTATTCAGTTTATTTTATGCGGAGATGAAAATCAAAATCCACTCTAAAAATATAACTCTTTTTGGAAATCTCATCATTTTTTTAAATACTAATTTTGATGAGCCTATAAAATTCAATCAAACATTAAGGTTTTCTAAGCTCATTACTTTGATGAACTTTTCAATCAACCTCTTATTCATTTCATTTGACCACTCAACTAAATAATTCAAGAAAATCCTTCCTTTGAGAAATAGAAGCCATTACCGCTTCTCATAGCGTCTCTATACTAGCTGACTCACCCTTGCGTTTGGTTTATTCCGTATCGATAGCGCAATCAATTTGTACTCAAAGCTACACTCAGAAAACATTATTTCCCTCCTTGAGCTGTGTTGCATTTAATCTTCTTCTTTTAATTTGAAGCCGATAGTTTTTAAATCAAATCCTTGCAAATTCGAAGTCAATAAACACTTTCTTCGAATGAAACAGCTCCCGAAAGAATCAGACGAGAAGAAAAAGCAGATGAAAGTAAATAAGTCGGTGACGAGTGGCGAAGTTGGACATTAGTGTCAGGAGGCCTGTCGTTGCCTTTTCAATTCGGAGATCCGAGATCGGAAATGCCGGTCAGACAACAGGTACAAGTTCACGCAGATGGTTAGCAGACGTTCCGATCCGCGGCAGACAAAACGGGGAAAGGGGTGGGGCGCGTAAAGATGCATCTGGATCTCGTACATCGTAAGTACATCGGCCGGAGATAAATCTCTCTGTCTGCGAAAACAGGCTTGCCTACCGCGAGTGGAGTGAAAGCACGGCTACGTTTCTAATCGCGCATTAAAGTCTCCTTAAACGTTTTTTAACGGAGCCGACAGGTTCCCCCTATATGGAGATATGGAGATGCGGAGCAGCAGCGCGGCCCGTAAGTCCCTGAGTTGCCGCGCTGGCGGCTCTGCCCAAGACGATTTTTCACTTCGCAGTTAGTCGGCTTCTCCTCCGTAATCAGCCGCAAGTTTCCTCTACGGGCTGATTGTTGAAATTGACAGACAAAGCGATAGAGAAAGAAGACATAGGGAGTATGGAGCGATCCTATCACTGGAAAAAAAAAAAAAAACACATTGGATCTAGAGTCCAGACACTTAAAAACATCGACAAGGAAAAATACTCTTGATTCGATCAGATTTAAGCTTAAATCAAGGACGAAGCCTCTTAATTCGAGCGGATTTCCTTTTGAATTAAGCTTAAATCTGATTGAATCAAGAGTATTTTTTCTTGTCAATGTTTTCAAGAGTCTGGACTCTAGATTCAATGTGTTTTTTTTTTTTTTTCCCCAGAGTTGAAATAAGTGGTTCCTGTTGACTAAGAGAGAAAACGATGGTTTAACCATACGGTTAGAAAACAGTAGTCTAAGGGCTCAGTTTACAATTAAGACAGTTTCAAATGATTTAAAAACGCCCAGCGGGCTGATTGTTGAAATTAGTAGGCAAAAGGATGGACAAAGAAGGCATAGGGGGTATGGAGCGATCCTTTTGGTTAATTTTGTTGGTTCTTACAGATTGAGAGAGAAAATGATGGACTAACTAAAGGGTCTCTCGTGAGTTGC